AAAATGGACTTCACAGGGGGCGCCTGTGTGGCTCAGTCGTTAAGCATCTGCCTTCGGCTCAGGTCATGATCCCAGGGTCCTGGGATCGAGTCCCACATTGAGCTCCCTGCTCGGCGGGAAGCCTGCTTCTACCTCTCCCACTCCCCCTGCTTGTGTTCCTGCTCTCACTATCTCTCTCTCTGTCAAATAAATAAATAAAATCTTTAAAAAAAAATGGACTTCACAGATATATACAAAACATTTCATTCAAGAGAAACAGAATGCACATTATTCTCATTTGCACATGAAATATTCTCCAGTATAGAACATATGTTATGCCACAAGACAAGACTTAACACATTTAAGAAGATCGAAATCATGTCAAGTATCTTTTCTGACCACATAAAAATAGGCATTAAACAGGAGGAAAATTGGAAAATTCACAAATCTGTAGAAATTAAATAATACACTCCTGAACAACCAGTGGGTCAAAGAAGAAATGAAAGGAAAATTAAAAAATGCTTGAGATGAATAAAAATAGAAATAAAATATACCAAAATTATGGGATGTAGCAAAAGCTGTTATTGGAGGGAAGTTTATAGTGATAACTACCTACATTAAGAAAAAAGAAAGCTCTCAAATAAATAACCTAACTTTACAGATTAAGGAACTAGAAAAAGAAGAACAAACAAACCCCAAAGTTAGTAGAAGGAAGGAAATAAAGAACAGAGCAGAAATAAATGAAATAGAGCCGAGATGCCCTTTAACAGACGAACGGATAAAGAAGATGTGGTCCATATATATACAATGGAATATTACTCAGCCACCAGAAAGGATGAATACCCAACTTTTATATCAACATGGTTGGGACTGGAGGAGATTATGCTAAGTGAAATAAGTCAAGCAGAGAAAGTCAATTATCATATGGTTTCACTTATTTGTGGAACATAAGGAATAACATGGAGGACATTAGGAGAAGGAAGGGAAAAATAAAGGGGGGGAATCGGAGGGGCAGATGAGCCATAAGAGACTATGGACTCC